CTGGGGTTGCCATGTGTCAGTGATGATGTGTTGCAAGCCAGTTCTGTTTGTATACATTCATGTGTTTTCTTGCCTTCCTAATGCAGGCTCATTTGTCTTGGAAAATGCATTGCTTTCATTTTTATTTCCAGTGGGAAGTAACAGCTATCCAAAATATTTTGATACTTCTGTTTAACACTTCCAAGGCTGCAGAAGAAGCAAACCAAACCCAACATTTCAACTAAGGTACTGATTTGCTTTTAAAGCGAAAGAAAGGAGCAGGTATGTTACTGGCATTGTACAAATCTTGTCTTGCCAATATACACCATGTGAGCCCTGAGTGACCTTTGGAACACACTGCTTATAAATTCACTGTGACAGTGAAATGATCAGCGGCACTATGGGTCATCCTTTGCAGCTACCACCACATTGGTTTGTGTGCTGCCTGAAAACATAGCCTCTGTAGGTTTATTCTGAAAAGCTGTGCTGCAGATGTTTACGTGCCTTCTCGCATCTTGCATCTGAAAAGAGAGCTGTTTTCTTATACAGGCACAGTTCCATGCGTACACATATTTCAGAACATATTCCCTGTCTTAATGCAATATCTTGAGTGGGTGTGATCCATGACTAATGCAATAGTGAAAGTACATAAACCTGTAAAAACTACTTATCAGCGTGCCTCTGGCCATGGTCATGAACCCAGCGCTGTTGCTTTTGTTTTATTGAGTTTGTCCCTCAATAAGACCCTATTATCTTGTTTAGAGGAGTTAGCTTCTGTTGCACAAATGGGGACTCGTCCAGGATAAAGCCTGCCTTGCTTCCATGGGCCTAGGGGACTTCAAGCTAAAGGCACGCCCTGCCAATTTTGGCAGATTGCTCGGTTTCTTCTGGTGTCATTGGCACGTGCAGGTTATATCCTGGGCAAAGAAGGGAACTCCTAAAGCAAAAGTGGGGAAGGGCTCCCAAGGAAACCACTGTCTGCTTTAATTCACGTGTACGAAGACCCAGACAAGAAAACAGAATGCAAGTATTGTTTGGTTCAGTGGGAATATGGGGGTGATCGGTGTGTGAATGAGACACAGACTGGGTATCTGGGATCTGTGAAGCAAGTGCGGAGTCTTTCTAACTGCAGTTGCAATCTTCTGGAAGGAATTGGCCGGTGAAGAGACAAGGTGAACGGTGATCGGTGTGTGAATGAGGCACGGACCAGGTAGCCTGGACCAATAAAGACATGGACTGGGTATCCGGGATCTGTGAAGTGAGTGCGGAGTCTTTCTAACCATGGTTCCAGTTTCCCACAAGGGAATTGGCTGGTGAAGAGACAAAGTGAATGAGTAAGAAAGACTGAAGACCCACCAGGGTGTAAGTATGGGAGAATGGATGGGTACGCCGAGTCCTGGGAAGAAAGGGAGCAAGGAAATGCCAGCCGAAATACCCCTGGACATTCCACTGGGGGGTTATGTTAGCTAAGGGGGAATACAGTTCATGTACAAATGGGAAGGACAAGATAAATTCAGCAGGAGGAGATACAAGACTAGGGGTGTCAGGGGCTCTGCCTCCTGGGCAATAAGTAGGACCCCAAGGGGAGACATTGGAATTTTTTTGTATGTACCAGGTAAAGGGAAGACTTGTAAGTCATGAGGAGCCGTCCTATGCGAGATGAAGAGCGCAGGTGCTTGCCCCAAGGGTTGGTTTGGTTTGGTAGGGTATTGATACCAGGGTCACTGTACTAACGGCTTCACGAACCTTTGGTGGGTAAACACTGGCTTAAGATTTATGCGTTACCAATTACTGGCTTAGATGACATTCTGTGTAAAGTGGGTGATTGAGAGATGGGCCCTTGTGTAAATGAGTGTTTTGTGTAAGTGAAACATGGCACAGCTACAAAGCGAGTGTGGAGTCCTGATCCACGGTTCCGTGTTCTCTGCAAGGAGAGTGGCTGGTGATAGAGGAAGTGTGTTATGTCTCATGAAATTGAACCTATTGTTGAGTTTTGGTGTCCTATCCACCGTGATATTGTGTGTGATCCAGTTTTCATCTTTGAATGGTTTGATTGTGAGGATAAAGTATCAGTGAAATTTGGATGGGATTTTTGGTGTGTTAATTGGCCAGGAAATTGGTCCGATTGGCACCAGACTGAACGTTCGGGTGAATTAGTACGAGTAGTTTGTGGAAACCTGGGAGAACTGAAGAACCAGTAGAGCAATATAGGGGTTAACTGTCAGAGTAGTGATCAAGCTCCCTGGCACAGGGCTCGAACTAGCCCTTGTCATCGCTGTTGTTTGTGTTTCCAAGCTAAGTGTCCTGCTTGTTCAAAATATATTATCTCTTTTGGTGGTAGACAAGCGGTTTATTTACAGAACTGTTTGGAATTAGGGTGTATCTGTTGTGGGTGCAGCACTCCATTATACCTTTTACTCTGGATAAGATATTATTGTTGTAGGGCTAACCGTGTCGTATATCTTTAAAGGCTTACAATGGGAGGACAGCAGAGTGGGGGAATTCTCAAAAAAGCCCTTTAGGTTGCATTTTAGCTCATTGGAAAGATACAGGGGGTCCACCGGGAGGAAGTGTGAATAAAAAAACCTTGATTAAATATTGTAATCAGTGGTGGCCTTCATATAAATTGGAAGATGGGGAAAAGTGGCCCTTCAATGGAATTTTGAATTATAATACCTTATTACAATTAATGTTATTTTTGAGACGAGAAGGAAAATGGGATGAAGTTTCATATGCTGAGATGTCCTTTACCCTCCAGAACCATCCTGAATGGCAGACGGAATGTGGGCTGGAGGCTCCGCAATACCGATGGTGTTGGCTCTGGAAAAAGGTAATAGGAAAAAAGGAAAAAGGAAGTTAAAGAGATGTTGATCGGCACGTAGTATAGAGCAGAGATGTACCAGACTGGGAAAGGCAGGGGACCCTGGAGCTGGGGATTTACCAGAATATTATAAATGTGAATTACGAAGTCACTCCTCTAAACAAGATAACAAGGTTTTATTGAGGGACAAAGTCAATAAAGCAAAAGCAACAGCGCTGAGCGCATGACCGTAGCCAGAGGCGCAAGTGATTAGTATTTGTTATGGGTTTATATACTTTCGCTACTGCATTAGCCATATACATATTCATAATGCCCGCGTAAAGGCGGGGAATATTATAACTAGCTCCAGGAACTTATTATCCTAAGTCTCCTCCTCTTTGGTGTCTGCACACTGCTCTGCAATGACTGTGGGCAGGGGTCTTGATGGTGAAGTAAGCAGTCTTCCTCTTGTGAGTAGGGGTCTTCAGGATGCAGTAAGCAGTGTTCCTCACAGTGCACTTTTCACCTTTGGCACAGTTGGACGTCCCAGGAATCACACAACTACCTGAAACCAGCCATATCTGTGATTTTTCTGATAGCTACCAAGGATTTAAAACAGTGTGACCTTCCTGAAAAATTTATTGCAGGATGGGCAGATGACGAGTATCCCAAGCTAGCAGAGGTTTGCGAGGCTCTGTCTCTAACTGATAAGTAGAAGGATGGTGTGAAATAACTCATTCATATTTAGTGGGGTCACTAGATCCTGTTATCTCACCACAGACTTATAAAACAAATATTGTTCTTTAAAGCTAAAGATACTTTAGAAGACTAGTGTGAAACAATTAACTCATGTTAAGTGGGGCCACTACATTCCACAGACTTACAACAGAAACATTGTTCTGTTTCTACAACCTAGGTTACGCTAAAAAGTACTTCAACTCTCTGTTTTCCAGGCACCAGCTGTTCTTAAATCAAGTCCCCCCCACTTCTTTCTCTTACCTTTAAAAATTCTTTTGCTATCCTACTCCATTTTGCTCAAGTGTTTTGGCCCTTTTTAACTTCTTGTCTGATCTTGTGTCTTTAACGAGCTTTGTTTCTGTTATTGTAAACTCTTACAGTAAGGTCCACATAACGACACCTATGATTTGCGAAAGCCAATACATTTATGTGTTTATTACAATAAACCACCTGTGAGACAGGAACCACCACAAGAGGAAAGTGGGGATTGCCAATCAGACACCCCTCCAGGCAGTCCAGTATCCTCCCATACCCGAGAAAGGCAAGGGCAGGAAATATTGCAAGCAGAACAGGATGGGCAGACAAGGAGTATCCTAAGCTAGCAGATGTTCGGGAGTCACTGTCCCCAAACTAACTGGTAACTAGAAGGATGGTAATGATGCAGAGGGTTGACCAATGTACAGGGGGGTTGTACAGGGGGGTTGTACAGGGGGGTTAGAGGAATTTGATTGCTTAAGCAAAGGTATTGTCTGTACCTATCATGCCTACTAAGCAGAACAAAGGCACTAACTATTGACAAGGAAAAGCAGACACTTGGTTCTGTTGACAAGGAAAAGCAGACACTTGGTTCTATTGACAAGGAAAAGCAGACACCTGATTCTACCGATAAGCACCTATTGATAGGGAAAAGTAGACCCCTGAATCTACTGTTAAGGGGGAGAAGCAGATGGTTGATGGCTGGGACCAAACCCTAAGGCCATACGTGAAGAGAAAAAGGTGAAAAATTCAAGAAGACTCATTTACTTCATCTTGAAGACCCCAACCCCCAGGAGGAAGACTCATTTACTTCATCTGGAGACCCCTGCCCATGACCAGAGGGGGCACTGCGCAGGCGCAAAGGACCTTCTAGCTCATTGTAATAGGAAGCGGGGATAGGACATGAATGTGTATGGTACGGCGTATGGTGCAACCTTATAAATGTAGAGGGAAACAACACTGGGGCACGCATGACTTTGAGGAATTATCCCCGAGAGTCTCAGCGCTGAATAAAAGCATACCTACTTTACAACTTTAACGAGTTGTGGAGTCAATCTGCGCATCAGTAAGAAATAGTTCACTCATGTTAGTAAGACTACTAAATTCTGTTATGACACCACAGACTTACACCGCAAACATTGTTCTCCATCTTAGACCTAAGTTAAGCTAAAAGTATTTTAACCCTATGTTTTCCAGGCACTCCCTTTCCTTATATCCCTCGGTACCGACAGGCCCGCAGGGGGAGCCTCGCCGTAGGACGGCACCATCGCCACCGGCAGCCCAGCGCCGCCACCTTCCTCCGGCCTTGGAGGCGAAGGCAGCGCCCGCCGTTGGTCGCTGCCGTCACGGGGCAGCGCCCCCTGGTGCGCCGGTCCAGCCGCTGAGGGCGGGCCTGGCCGGGCCGCAGGGAGCGGGGCCTGACCCGGTAGGGCTTGGCCCGGAAGCCCGCCCACCGCGGCCGCGTGAGCTTCCCTGGCAGGGGGTGCTGCGGGGCCCTTTGCTCTCCTCTGCACGCCTCCTGGAGCCGGGGTGCCTGCTCGGCGCGGAGCCGCTAGCTCCCGAGCCGCGCCGCTGGTAGCGGTCGGTGAAAGGCCAGCTCGCCTGACCCTCTTCGTTTCTTTCCCCGGAGCAGGCCCCCGGAGCGGAGCCGGAGATGCTCATGCACATGGATCAGAAGGAGGAACTGCGGTTGTCCCGTCCCCGCTCCTGCGAAGGGAAGAGTGCTCTGAGCGGCACCTCAGGTAAGGGCCATGAGTGTGAACCCGTCATGAGAAAGAGTGCTGCGGGAGCACCAGCGCCCCCAGAATGTAGAAGGGCGGCGGTGCTGGGTTGGAGCAGGGCCTGTCCAGCTTCACCTGCTGCCTGTGACAACGGTATTCATAGCACCACAGGCCACCAGGCTGGGAGGGATCTCAAGGATCATCCAGTACAAGTTTTCCAGGCAAAGCATGACCTGGACTGGATGTCCCAGTGCCCTGTCCAGCTGAGTCTTTAAAGCATCCAACAGTGGGGAGTGCACCTTTTCCCTGGGGAGATTATTGCAATGGCTGGGTGTTCTCCCTGGGAAAAGTTTTCCTCTTGTGTCCAACCAGAATCTGCCCAGGGGTAACTTGTACCCCTCGTCTTTTCCATGGGACCCCTTGTGAAAAGGGAGCCTCCATCTTCTTCATAGCCACCCTTAAATACTGGACTGTGGTGATCAGGCCTCCCCTGAGCCTTCTGTTCTCTGGGCAGAACAAGCCCAGCTCTCTCGGCCTTTCCTCATACAGCAGGCAGCAGGCCCAGCCCCTGATCAAGACCCAGAGAAGGGCAGACAAGCAGTGATGTGTCCCTGTATCCTTTCACAGGCCTGAGGCGTCTGTGGCTTCAGAAGCTCCTGAACTAGGCACATAACGTCTCAAGATCTCTCTTCTTGCCTTCTCAAGCTGCGCACATTGTAGCATCCATGGCAGCTTGCAGCAAGGAGTTCCCCAGCTTATTTAGGTGATTTATGAATTGCTGCCTCCTTTAGTTTGCTTTGAAAGTGCCTTTTACTGCTGGCAGGAGTTCTTAATTTAGAACAGATGGTGCAGGATAGATGCCAAACCCCCCCACAGGCCACTTGTGTTTTTACAGTCCTCTGTGATACCCCTATCAGCTGTACCTTTTCCCAGCAGAATGGGCAGTTGACTCCTCTCCTATACAGGATCTGTTCTGTGCCTCTGATGGTTCCTGTCATGCCTCTGTCTTCCTCAGCTCTGTCAGAGTGTCTCTGACATGGGGGATCCGTCCTCCCCCTTACACACAGTCAGAATGTGGGGTTTGAGCTGCAAGGCAGAATTTCCTTCTCTTTTCTTCTCTGTTGTTTTCCCCCCAGCACTCATTGATGCTTGACTGGCTGTGTTGTGTGCCTAGGAGCTGCAGTTTTCATCCAGCTGCTCAGACTCCAAGGTGCTATTCCTGAATGATATCAAGAACATCCTAGGCCCAGCCTGGTGTAAGTGCAAGCTGTAGAGGCTGTTCTCCTCTGAAGGTCTTTGTTTACCTGCAGTGACCGTCCCCTGTCACCTGGTTGGTCAGTATCTCAAGGCTCTGCCACAGTTCGTAGTCAGCTTTTGTGTCTTTAACCCCGAGGAGCACACAATCATCAGCAAATGTTTCCACCTCCCTTTTCCCTTCCTTACCACCCTGTCAGGTTCATTCATGCCAGAGCAGCTTAGCTTCTTTACCAGTTTTGGTGAAGGATAAATGTCTTTCAGGAATGCCTCTGGACTCCACATGTCCCTTTTGATAAAGCTGGGGACATCTGTGAAGAACTCCCAAGTGGTTTGTGAAGTGAGACATCTCTTTCCAAAGGCCGTGCCAGGTCTTCCCCGGTCTGTCCTCTCACCATCTGTCCATTAATTCTTATACTCAGATTTCTGTTTTTTTGCTAGGAATGTTGGGCCCCAGATCTCCCCTCCAGCCCTTTCTGTGGCATCACATCAGCCACCTCCAGTCCCAGCAGTGAGGTACCACAGTCAGAAGTCCAGCAGCTTACTCTGCTTACTTGCAGCTTGCCTTGTAGCTATAGCACTGGCAGTCTTGGGCATATCAGAGGGCTTGCCATCAACCTAAACTGGCATGGGCTGAGGAAGAGCCACATTCTTTGTGTCTCTGTTGCTCTACTCATTTTTGCCAGTTCAGGCTTATGCTTCTAATATTAAATCCTCATCATTGTGACCTTGCTCTCCTTCCACTTGAAATACTCCCAGTGAGTTCCTGCCTTCGTTTTGATCAAAGCCTTTGCAGACAGCATGTCCTAGGTGCCAGTGAAGGTACCTAGTAGCTCAGAAGTAACAGAAATGATTGTAGAAGCGCTAGAGCCGTGACAGTAATTGTAAAAAGATGTCTGACACTCCTGATCTTCCTCCAAAAGTATAGAACACCATAGAAAACTTAATAGTCACGAACTAGTGAAGGCTTTTTCAAGGTCAGTCAGCACAAGGAATCAGCACAAGCCCTTTGTCTTGATCAGGCTTTCAGGTGACCTCGGGTCTGCGCAGTGAACATTCATACCGGTAACGCTTCTGCAAGACTTTATGTACATAAGAGGGCAGGGATCTGTTCATTGCGTGTGTCCCAGGAGCAGTTCATAACTGTTCAGCTAGCATTGATTCGACTTTTACCTACCTTCATCTTCTACATGTATTGGATTTCCTCAGTGCATGATCTGGAACCAGCCATGGGGGATCTTTAGTTCACCCACCACTTGCATGCACAACGGATTTGTTCTGCACCAGTGAAAGCATAAAGTTAATTTGCTTCTGCTCTAAGGGTGGCATAAGCCAGGCTCCAGGCGGTGTCCATGTCTCATTGCTTATAGCCTTCCTCTGATTCCCAGTTCACCTTTTAGTAACATCCTATGGAAACAAGCAGAGAGAGCTGGGCTTGTTCTTGTTTTCACAAGAGCAAGTAGGAACAGGAGAAGGCAGAACTGACAGAGGGGAGATGTAGATAAGGTGAAAGAAGTTCTTCCTTGTGAGGGTGCTGAGGCTCTGGCACAGGTTGCCCAGAGGAGCTGTGGCTGCCCCATCCCTGGCAGTGTTCAAGGCCAGGTTGGAAGGGGCTTGCAGCAACCTGGTCTTGTGCAAGGTGTCCCTGCACATGGCAGGAGGCTGGAACTGGATGTGATCTGTAAGGTCCATTCCAGGTAAAACGTCCTGTGGTTGTATGATTTTCAGGTACAACATCCTGGAAGAGCTAGCATCTTTCCCATTCAAGCAGTAAACTTTTGCCTCTAATATGCCAGTGATTTCAGTAGATTCAGGTTCTGGTGAAGCATGCTGAGCGATTTACAGCATTTGCTCCTGGGAACACACTGATAATTCAACTTTGTAGTTTGGAGGGAAATACCATGTCCTGAACGCAGGATATACCAGAATGTTTTATACTTAAAGTCAATCTATCTGCTGAATTTTTAGCATTTAGCCCCTTGGGATTTGCCCTGTCCAAAGCTTCCAGTCCTGCCTGTGACTTCTCTTGATTCTCATTTTATTGCAGCTGAAGACGGGATTGTGAGCATGAATGAAGACAATGACCATCAAGGCATCCCCAGGCCAGCGGAGCCCAAGGGTTTATGCTCAGGACTCTCCGAGGAGCACAGTTCCCAGAGTCCTGCACAGGACCCTGTTCCCCCACGCAGGTCAGAAAGGATTCAGAGATCCAAGAGCTTCCAGGTGAGCTCAAACCTCATCCAGCATCGGAGAATCCACACTGAATGTGGGAAGAGTTTCCAGCACCGGTCACATCTCATACATCACCAGAGGATCCACACAGGGGAGCAGCTCTATACGTGCTCTGAGTGTGGGAAGAGCTTCAGAGAGAGCTTGAAGCTGATCCGGCACCAGGTGACCCACACTGGGGAGAAGCCCTACAGGTGTGCCGAGTGTGGGAAGACCTTTTCGAAGAACTCGCAGCTCATCCTGCACCAGCGGGTGCACACTGGGGAGAAACCCTACGAGTGCAGGACCTGCGGGAGGAGCTTCAGCATGAGCTCGAACCTGATCCGGCACCAGTTAACCCACACCAGGGAGAAGCCCTACAAGTGTGCCCAGTGTGGGAAGAGCTTCTCCGACAGCTCGCAGCTCCTCCAGCACCAGCGGGTGCACAGTGAGGAGAAACCCTACGAGTGTATGGAGTGTGGGAAAAGATTCACCGTGAACTCATCCCTGATACGACACCAGCGGCTGCACACTGGGGAGAAACCCTATGAGTGCAGGACCTGCGGGAAGAGTTTCACTGTGAGCTCAGCCCTGACAGAACACCAGTGGGTCCACAGCAAGGAAAAGCCCTACAAGTGTTCCGACTGTGGGATGAGCTTCAGCGTGACCTCAGGCCTTACACGACACCAGCGGGTGCACACTGGGGAGAAACCCTATGAGTGCAGGACCTGCGGGAGGAGCTTCAGTGCGAGCTCATCCCTGACACGACACCAGCGGGTCCACACTGGGGAAAAGCCCTACAAGTGTGCCGAGTGCGGGAAGAGCTTCTCTGTGAAGTCGAAACTTGTCCAGCATCAGTGGGTGCACACTGTGAAGAAATCCTACGAGTGCAGGTGCTGCGGGAAGAGCTTCAGCTTGAGCTCAACCCTGGCAGAACACCAACAGGTCCACACCAGGGAGAAACCCTATGAGTGTATGGACTGTGGGAAGAGCTTCGACCGGAGCTACGCGTTCTTGAATCACCGGCTGATCCACACCGGGGAGAGGCCCTACATCTGCACCTACTGCGGGGACAGCTTTCGGCAGAGTCCCCACCTCATCCGGCACCAACGCATCCACACTGGGGAGCGTCCCTACATCTGTGCTGAGTGCGGGAAGGGCTTCAGAGTGAGCTCGGCGCTCTTCCGGCACCAGCAGACCCACAGGGGTGGGGGGCACTAGGTGGGGTGAGTGTGGGGAGCAGTGAGGTCTGATACTCTGTGAGCAAAGCCCGGTGTCTCCCCCTCACATTGACCACCTTGCATGTGGAGGGTGAAAGCAGTTTCTTCCCAGGAGAGTGAGCCCTCAGAGATGAAGAAGGGGAGAGCTGCTGGAGGGAGCGGATTGGAGGTTTGGTTCAGGTGCCAGCAGGAAGGTGCCTGACTCCTTTCAGTGGTGGGCAGCCCCAGAATGAGGAGCAGTAGCCATGAACTGAAACACAAGAGGTTTGACCTCAACACGAGGAAGAACTTGTTCCGTTGCAGTGGCAGAGCACTGAACAGGCTGCGCAGGGGGATGTGGAGGCTCCCCCTGTGGGCAAATCCAAGCCCTGCCTGGACACATTCAAGTGCCCCTGCCCTGGCAGGGCTGGAACTGGGTGACCCCCAGGGTCGGCTCCCATGGCTGGTGCCGCTTGCAATGACCCTGTGCAGTAAACACCTCTGCGTTGAATTCCCTGGACTGTGCCTGCACGGATGCTCGCTCCATGTAAAAACTATTCTGTGAGGCCCTATTTCCAGCCCCAAAAACCTCCCCAGGGGAGGAGGAGAAGGTGTGAAGCTCTTCTGATGTGAGTGCCAGGTTACCTTTGTGATGGCTCCTCAAGCTTCTAGGCCTGGGGTTCTGGGGTTTGTCTCCACTGCAGTGATGCTTAGGTAGGTGCAGCCACGTTCTGCTGCTGCTTGTTAAAGCAAGGATGCAAGTTCTGCATGTGGGCAAATAGCCTGAAGTTGTAAACTGGTTGAAGAGCAAACTTGAACTCTGTACCACCTGGGTGTTTGCAAATTACTGAGCTTCTCCCAAGGGTGCCAAAGCAAAGCCAGGGCTTCAGTCCTGCTTCCCTGCCACAGCAGTGTCTACTTCCTTCAAAAGGCACTGGACTGTTGGGATTAAGTGTCTTCCTACCCTGAGAAGAATGGCTGTGCATCTTGAGTGTGAAACTTGCTGTGGAAGTGTGTCAGGGGCAAACTAAGTGCTGGCTAGATGAGATAGGGATGTATTCTCTGAGGGTTTGAACACTGTTATTGGGAAATAAATGTTTGGAGTGCTGAGGTGTTTTGTATTAAGCCTTGTCTCCAATCTCCAGCCCCACTGTCCTGCCTCTTGTAGCTGTTGGATTCCTCACAGGAGGCTGCTGGTAGGGCACTGGGAAGTTATGTGTTTACCCTGAGCATCAGCCATGTCTTGATGAGCAGAGCCGTGAAGCAAGTGAAATGACATGTTGTGGGCTTTCAGCTACCAGTTTCTGAATGAAAGGCATGTATAATGGTAAGAGATATGGTGCTTCTTACTTCCCTTCCTCTGAGTTCTCATGTGATACCCTAGTACTGAAAAGGACAGGGGTTTCATTTGTCCTGACTTGTCTTCTGAGTTCACGGCTTATCGTGTCTATGCTGGATGATACTGGTAAAAATCCCAGCTTCTGTGTTGTCCTGTGTATGTAGTGTCCTCACCTAGGGCTGAAGGGACTGGTGTTGTCACTGTCCTGGCTATCACTGTAGAGGTGATCATGTCAGATGGAGGATCTGCAAAAACAGTTGTGGGAGATACAAGTCTGACTGCACCAAAGTCCTTAAATGACTGTTTGTGTGCTAACCCCTTCTTTCACCAGCAGACACTGCTGCTGGAAAAGTAAATCACAGCTCTGAGTTGTGCTTCTACAACGGTTGTTACACGTTTGGGTAAAGACTTCTGAGAGCCCAGCAGATGCCCCATGGCATGGAGAGCAAAGTCCGAGTGCTGGTAAGTGCTGCTTAACATGAGGGTGTTGCAAGAGATGGGTGCAGAGGCTCTATCAAGTGAGTTAGCAGATGTGTCTTGTAGAATGATGATCCATGGAGTCATGCTGTGTATGTGTGCCCATTGGGAGCCTTGAGCCATTCCTGCTGTTGTTAACTAGTCATGTCTGAGGCTTGATCTGGTGGCTTCCTTTGGGTTGGATGGAATGTCAAGCCACCTCCAGGCCTCTTGCTGTCTGCAGGGTGGTGCTGAAGTGCTCTCTGTAGCTCTGCTCTCACCTGCTCCTCTGTGCCGTTTGCTGCAGGCCTGTCAGCACGCAGAGGCAGCACACCCTACCTGCAGGACTCTGCCTGTCTGGAAGTATAAGATAAATTGGAACCACTTTCTCTAGTTTAATTTTGGGATCTGCATTTCTTGAGGAGTGCCTGACTTGAAGCCAGCTGCGCAGGAAGCCAGGATGCCATCAGGACTTGTGCAGCTGTGCTGGCAGGAGGCTGGCTGTGCTGTGAGACAGGCAGACTGTTCCCGTGGGCCCGTGACCGGCACCTGGCTCAGCCTGGGCAGGTTCTGCCTCTTTGCTTCAGTTTGGTTCAGAGAAAACTCCAGGAACAGACTTGCCAACAGAGTTTTCAAGCTGACAAGCAGGTATTTATTGCAGCACCGGGAGACACAGGGGACAGTCCTCCTAACGTGTCTCCCCATATTGCTGCACAAGTCATACTTACATAGTCCCTGGGCAAACATCCATGTTCATGAGGCTATGCATGGCTTACATTATTTTCCAGAAAGTTCTGGCATGTGTACAGTATTGTGGTGGTGGTCTCTGAGGGTCATTTACTTCTTCCAACAATCTTCATCACTTCTGGCAGCATCTGAAGCATGCGCACGAGATGCTTACACCAGCTTAATTGGTTTGTTAGCACCAGAGACGACATAATCCTCCTATCCTCCTACTTATCAGTTAGTTTAACTGCAGCCCATCCTGGACACCTGCCATTCCCAGATACTTCTTATCCTTGCATCCTGTTCTTCTGGACTGTTTTTCTTACATTCATTTTGTACTAAGGTCATAGAGCCTAAGACTGTGTCAACTACAATGGCTTATCTTGTACTGTACTCTGTTTTTCCTTTTTCTATGTATCATGCACCTCAGTAATTTTCCATTGTTACTGTTACAAAGCCATCAAACTTAACATTACTTAAAACTGATTATAAAGGTTTATATATTCCATTTGGTAATTTTGTGCCCCCCCCTTGTCTCAAATCCCCCGTTTTTCTGTCCTTTTGCAATATTTTATATATTACCATTACCGTCTAAAGTCTTTTTGAAATCATCTCCCATCTCCACTTGGTGCTTGATTTCATTCCTTTTCCAGTCTTCAGAACTTATCATAGATCATTTACAATACCAGAAGGAACATTGTATCATACCACAGTTAACATCAGTACTCTTGCAACCAGTTGCCTCAACCAGGAGAGTTTAGGTAAACACAGAGTTAACTTTTTCCATATTTCTTCAAAACCCCAGGAGGTATCATCCATGGCCGTTTCATGAGATATCTTAGTTTGTTTCCAAATTTCATCCATATCTGTTTCAATTCTGCCACTTCAGTCTATATAGGAACAACAACTTTCATTGATTACGGAACAAACCCCTCCTTATGATTCCAGTAACATGTCTAGAGCCATTCGGTTTTGTAATACCACCTTAGCTAGGCTGGTTATCTCTTGTTGTTCTGCCTGGATTATATCAATGTTTGTCCTTTCCATTTTCTCTATGGTTGCTGTGATATTTACAGTTGCCTTCTCTAATTCACTTACTCCCAAAGATGGAATTAGCCCTCTTACAAAGTTATGAAGTGCGGTGTGCCGTTCAATAATAGGGTTAAGCCCTCACCTAATCCATTTAGAAAAACTTCTGATCCAGGTCCCAGAAGGATAGGTGTCAATAATAGTTAGATTGGGTATCACAGCACCTAAAGTGCATGCCCCCTTCCAGCTGGGGGGTAGACTCTTATAAGCATTTTCTCCACATAACCAATACCATCCTTTCCCTTTGGGAATGGGCCACCACTGAACTACGATACCATCTATATTAATAGTGTGATTGCAATTTGAATGGTGACCTGTTTCCTGTGTGTGTTCCGAAGGCCTCCTTCTTTCCAGATAGCACCATGTGCATGGGCCACACCAAATGCGTATTTAGAACCAGTCCAAATATTTACCCTTTTATCTTTAGCCAATTCCAGGGCCCTTGTTACCGCTATTATTTCTGCCTTCTGGGCAGAGGTGTTTGCAGGTAAAGGTTCAGCTTCTATTACCTGTGAAGTGGTGGTAATGGCATATCCTGCCTTTCGTTCACCATTTTTCATGAAGCTACAACCATCAGAAAACCAAGAATCAGCATCTTCCAGAGGTTTTTCTTTCAAATCTGGTCAGCTCGAATATACAGTCTCTACAGTGACCAAGCAGTTGTGTGTTAGTGGTTCTGTCGATCCTTCCAGAACACCAGAATCATGGATCCAAAGTCTGCACCATCCAGTCATTCCCACGAGCGTCCAGAGCTCCTTGGCGGTGGACAGTCGTGGTATCTGACAAATGGCTTCTTTTCTAGCAGTTCCAAGTTCTCTGTCTTCCTGTTATTTCATATCCTAGGTAGGAAACTCGGGTTTGGATTAGTTGGGCCTTTTGTTTGCATACTCGATAACCATTCAGTCCCAGAAAACTGAGTAATTCCACCATCAACTGAAGATATTCTTCCTTTGTTTCTGTGGCAATTAATAGGTCATTCACATACTGTAACAGAGTCCCCGTCTGAGTAGGTGGCTTCCATGATTCTAGTACCAGTGCTAACTGATTTCCAAAAATCGTCGGACTGTTTTTAAACCCTTTAGGTAATACCCTCCGAGTTAACAGAGTTTCCCTTCTGGTGTCAGGATTTTCCCATTTGAAAGCAAATAATTCTGGCTTTCTTTGGCCAATGGTAAGCAAAAGAAAGAGTCCCTTAAATCCAAGACAGCCCACCATTTCTGATCATTATTCAATTCTGTCAATAAGTCATATGAATTAGCTACTACTGGACAAATATCCTCTGCAATTTTGTTGATTGCTCTGAGATCTTGAGCCAATCTGCAACTGTTCCCACCATATTTCCTTACTGTCCAGATAGGAGTATTATATTCCAATTCACATTCAATTAGTAATCTATATTTTAAGTTTTATCAATGATTTTTTGATTCCTTTTGATCTTCTAATTTTAAGGGATATTGTTTTATTCTAATTGGGCAGCCCTCCCCCTTTTTATTTCCACTTTTAACAGGCAAAGCATTTTTTGCCTTACCTGGAACTTCAGATGCCCGTACTCCCAGATATACCCGATTAAGGTTTTCTTCTGTTTCAGGGAGGTCCTCCTGTTTGCTTTTCTCTCAAAACTGCAGTTGTTTCAGAAAGGTTTCAGACAGAAAGTCTCTTTTTTTTGTTTGGTTTTTTTTTTTTTTCTCTTTTTTCTCTTTTCCTTGGTGGCCAGTAGCTCTCACATCTGTAACAAATTCTTTTCCTCTGATTTAACGTCGAAAAAGTTGCTCCTGTATCCACTTAAAAATTCCACTTCATTTCCTCTAGTCCCTGGCATTTAATTTAACCGGTGGATCTGCTAGGGTAGATTCCCCAGGTCGCTGTCATTCCCGTTCCAATTCAGCCACCCCATGGCACTGCCCCCGCCCCCGGGCAGTCTCACTTCCAGTGACCAAACTCCCCATAGCACGCACACCGACCCGGTTCCACAGAAGAGGAGCCCACTCCCCCATCTCCACCCGACATCCCTCCTCCCACGCTCAAACCCAGGAGCTGCTCGAGCTCCCCTCCTTTCCCCCTTGGTTTTCCCTTTCTTTTTCCTCAGGGGCTCCAGATGCCTGCCTCGGCAACAGCACTTTGCTTTAACCCTTTCTTAACTCGGAATGTGGATCTGCTGCTTGTTGCCAGTGACAGCAATCTCTTCCTCCTGATCAATATGTGATAGACAGATGCAGTGGGTGCTTCTCTCGGAGGTGCCTGTGATACAGAATTTTCCAACCTATCTTCCTGATTACTCTAGGTTTTTCTTAACTTTAAACCTCATTCCCCCAATATCCCAGGCTGAACAGCATCTCTCCAACTTAGCTTTCTGGTTTTCCCTGTCCTTTTCTAAAGCCAAAATTAAGGAATCTGGCAGAGCTATATTAATTTTGCATTCAGTCTGTCATGCCGGGTGGTTTCTTGAAGTGAAAAACATATCTGCATACATCACTTCATCCCATTCTCCTTGCCCCCTCAAAACAACATTAATTGTAACAATGTATTGTAGTTCAGAGTTCCATTTTTAGGCCATTTCTCCTGATCTTCCAAAGTATACAGAGGCCACCACTGGTTACAATATTTTACTGTTTTGTCGGAGGGGGAGTCGGGCCCGGAGTAACAACGCAACCTCAATATGAGTATGATCGTTCTCATTTATTGTTTGCATACACAGTGTTTATATAGGATTCTAAATCAGTCACGCTCCTAAAGCAAAGCTATCATTGGTCCCCAACAACTGTTCACGCGCCTGTCTATACATTGCTATTGGCTAAGCTAAGTTTTACACACATATCTCTACAACAGCAGGGTGCATGCCTTGTGATAAGCGGTGCATTCCTTGTGGCCAGCAAGCTCCTGTTTCAGCGTTCTGCTTACATTTCTTCAACTCCAGGCCTCCCCAGCTCAGCTGAGTCAGAGAGAGTTCAAGGCTGTCTCACTCAGCTCTAATCCTGGGTTGTGCAGGCCCTCGTGAGAATAACCATTGCTCCACACTGTTTTGTTTACTGAGTCCCCAGGAAATCCTCCCAGTTCTTACCAGTGTGCCAAAATGCACCCTAAAGGACTCTTTTTCAAGATCTCTCAACTCTGATGATTTTCCATTATCAATCCCGCATTCACACACACACACACACGATCCCACAGGCACACTCCACACAGTTACAACTCTTGAGACAGAGACTAAAATTCAAGCAAACAAACAATTAATAACACAGTTGTAACATCCTGCCGCCAATACCAAGATCACAAGACGAAAATCATTACTGTAACAAGCCACAACATAAGTCAAATACCAGTAAGACCCAAAACCAATTCCACAAGACACTCGCTGTGTCTTATAGGACTCAAACCACAAGATGCCCCCTGCTTCTTGTGGGTGCATACCAGCAGCCAGGTATATGCCTTTACCTACCACCTGTGTATTGATACATCAAAACCTTGGGGCAAGCACTTGCGCTCTTCACCTCGCGTAGAATGTCTCCTCATGACTTACAAGTATGCCCTTGACCTGGTTCATACATACCTGATGATTCACTAGTGATGGTCCTTGTCTGCCCCTGCGGTGATCTGAGTGAGTGGAGGAGTCCTGCCAAGAAATCTCAGGGGCGCCCAGAAGAGTCCCATCCTCAGCAGGTCCCACAGCCGGACAGAGATTGTCCCATCTGGGGTGGAAAACTGAAGCATGGAATCAGACTCTAAAACTCAAAGAGAGTTATAAAGCAGGTGTGATTCTTAGGGTGCAGGTTGAAAGGAGGACCCCTCCTCCTAACTTGCACACTGAGGGGTTAAGCAAGCAGATATGTATTACACACAAACATGCATATTGATTAGGTTCCCGAGAGTTCGGTGGGGATACTATAATTTCTTTAGGAACTCATTATGATAAGTCTCCTCCCTTGTGGGTGCTTGTGCAGTGCCCTCTGATGGTCGTGGGCAGGGGTCTTCAAGATGCAGTAAGTGGTCTTCCTCACGGTGCACTTTTCACCTTTAGCACAGTGGGATGCCCCGGTAATCACAAAATTATCTGAAACCAGCGTATCTGTAAGTTTCTGATTGCTGGCCAAGATTTAGACCAGTGTGACCTTCGCACAAAATTTATGGCAAGCAGAACAAGATGAGCAGACAAGGAATATCCTAAGCTGGCAGATGTTCAGGAGTCACTGTCTTCAATCTAAATGATAATTAGAAGGATGGTAAGAAATAATTCACTCCTTAGAAGGATGGAAAGAAGTAATTCACTCTTGTTAGCAAGACTACTGAATTCTGTCATCACACCACAGGCTTACAACACAAACACTGTTCTCTATCTTAGACCTAAGTTAAATTAAAAGTATTTTAACCCTATGTTTTCCAGGCACTTGCTTTCCTTATATCACCAAGGGCAGCTCCCCCCGTGCTCGGACAACGGCACGGCCTCCCCCCACCTGCTGCCAGAGCCCATGAAGCTCTGTCTGATCTCTTGGGCAGGGTGTGCAGTGTGGGATGTGGTGCCGGTGCTGCCAGAGGCTGTCCCCGCAGGTGAAGGGTCTCTCTCGGGGTACCTGTGGAAGGCTTCAGCTCTGCATGTGTGCTGGGAAGGCTCATCCGTGCCAGACCAACAGCAAATGCCCACCTCAGGGGCAATGTAGACCCTTCATGGCAGGAGCTCGATGAACAAGACACAGCGGCAGCCAGTGCTTTCCGATGAGAGGGTATTCAGAGGACACAAAGCAGAGCTCTGGAGCTTTGTAGGTGGACTGCCTGCCCTTCCAAGAGATGGGGACCCCGATGGGGCACTGCCAGGCTGTCTAATCTGGTAGAAAGGGAAGGCACATAAGTCACAACTCTGCTTTCTGCATTCCTGTGCAGTGTAGATACACCAGCCCCTCCATGGGGCTTGGCCAGAGCAGAGACCATGTTGATGGTTCATACCCACGCAAGACATGGCATTACGACCGGGAATATGTTCTGAAATATGTGTATGCACGGAACTGTGCCTGTGTAAGAAAACAGCTCTCTTTTCAGATGCAAGATGCGAGAAGGCACGTAAACATCTGCAGCACAGCTTTTCAGAATAAACCTACAGAGGCTATGTTTTCAGGCAGCACACAAACCAATGCGGTGGTAGCTGCAAAGGATGACCCATAGTGCCACTGATCATTTCACTGTCACAGTGAATTTATAAGCACTGTGTTCCAAAGGTCACTCAGGGCTCACATGGTGTATATTGGCAAGACAAGATTTGTACAATGCCAGTAACATACCTGCTCCTTTCTTTCGCTTAAAAAGCAAATCAGTACCTTAGTTGAAATGTTGGGTTTGGTTTGCTTCTTCTGCAGCCTTGGAAGTGTTAAACAGAAGTATCAAAATATTTCGGATAGCTGTTACTACCCACTGGAAATAAAAATGAAAGCAATGCATTTTCCAAGACAAATGAGCCTGCATTAGGAAGGCAAGAAAACACATGAATGTATACAAACAGAACTGGCTGGCAACACATCATCACTGACACATGGCAACACCAGTGCAAGCTTGGGAAGGCTGCCTTTGATTACGGAGTAATGAAGCAGGGGATTGAATGACTTCTGTCAGGGAATTTGCAGTGCATGTCAGAAACGTCCTTGTGGTCTTGAAGGCCGTAAAGGATTTTTAATCCTTTTCTCATCGTCTGAGGAAAGTTTCAGAATTACAAGAGACATCTCAGTTTGTCAATGGCGGCAACAAGGAAGCACCAAGCCAAGCCCCCGCAAAGCAGTTACCTCCTAACCGTGACAGCACAGATGCAGTATTTAAGTCATCTTTCTGCATTAGGCAGAGACTGCCCTGGTGCAAGCTTTAAGGATGACAAAGACAGGAGGATGGAGACAGTTTCAGTGCCAAAAATTCACCGTTTTTTCATAATATACTAAACATTTTTTATGACACTGTTATTTGAATGACTGCAATTTACATCCACTGAACTGTGACACCACATTAACTGAAGATGTAATAATTGATTACAAAAGCTTTGACTGTAAATGCAAGTCGTACCTAAAAGAGTAAAAAAACTGGGAAGGGATCTTACTTATTTTCCCATATTAAGACTGGTGAGTAGGACTGAAGTTTTTTCAGTAATGAAGTGTGTATTTGAGAGAGAAATACACGGTACACTGAGGGTAACAACATTTACTAGAATGTCAATTAAGGGGAGCCCTGTCCTTTTCACATAACAAAGTTGGCTCTTGCACAAGAAGGTGGCTTAGGAAAAGTGATGGGACAGCCAGGGAAGAAAACTATCCCAGATTCCTGACAATTCACCACATGTGGCAGAAGGCTTTGCTAGGAGGTCCCCATACACACACTATACCTGCCATAGACCTGACAGAGAAGAGCTTCATCAGTGGCCACCCTTTTCCCCTCCACCAGGAGCCTTCCCTCTGAGGCCAGACCAGACCCTTCCCACAGCCCATTCTCCCAGCAGATACCCCCAATTTTCCCTAGGTCTCTCTTACCTTGGGGCTGCACAGCCTACATGAACTGGGCTCTCTCCCTGACTTATCTCTCCCACCTCTCCTCCCTGCAGGGTGTCCATGTCAACTCCTCTCCCTCCAGTTCTCTGACTGGGGTTTCAGTTAGTAGAGGCACAGACTCTACTGCTCTCCACTAGACCCAGTGTTGCTGCTTAGAATGCACCCCCGACCTGTCATAAGACATTACTTGTAATTTATCATTAGTATCTTACACATTGTTTATTGTATGTCATATAAATCAAATAAACTCAAAGATACATGGTATCAAAATAAAAATATTGACATGTTCCACACAATTTAAAAATTAAGATAAGTTGGCTTTGGAAATGACACTGATCAGGTTTTCTAACTAGTCTGCTACAGATAGCTGCAAGAGTCACTCCAGATCCATCAAGTGGCCATGCAGCCACGCAGCATGAAACTGTCTCAACTCAAAGAGAAGTCAACCAGCACGGAATACCTAGGTATTCTGGGAAGCATCCTGCTCGCTCCTCCCAAGTCTGAAGCCTCGACTTTCAGAGCATGTGTGTGAATTTGTTGTTTAACCTCCAAGACAACAGTCTTGCCTAAACCGGTGGGCATTCTGCAAAGGCAAGAGAGGCAGCTCGCTGGAGCACAGTTCACCTCAAGGTTCATCTTTCTAACTGAGAACCTGCCATCACATGAGTCTGCCCAGCAAACCATGGAAAACTGGCTCGCCTTGGCCAAAAAGGCACAAACACAACTGCCAAATGGTCAAAAGCATTTCTGAACGGCAAGTAATAGGAGAGACTAAAAAACACCAACGGCTTGCTGCCAGCTTTAGCCAGATTGCTCCTTCCCATCACTGCCGGTACACTGATTAAACAGATTTACTGCACATATATATTTGATTAATCAGCTGTTGGAGTCCCCCACCCCTTTTCTCATGAGGAGAAACATCACACCCCTTAACCTGGAAGGTCTCCAGCCTTACCCAATACTGTCTGTGCCACATTGTGAGACAGGACTCACCTGACATTATCATCTTCTGTTTCCTCATAGAGCAACATTTCCCTTTCTCGCCTCTCTGCACTCTCCATTGCAGGCGGTGTTGCTGGTTAGTGCTGGAGATGAGACAACCTGAAAGGCAAAACCAGAGATGGGTTTTAGAGGGAAGCTGCCTTCATGAAGGGACGGGTCTGAAATGCTGAGCCATACAGCAAGCAGCCTCTGAGCTGCTCCACCAGGCACGGTGGTGAGGAGCAGCCGCTGGCCATTTCCACAGCACAGCAGGCACTTTCAAGGAAGCAATCTTGTTTGTTCAGTTCAATTACCCCAGTGAACCTCAGCACTAACATCACTCAGCTCACCAAATGTTAGCCTCAGAGGAGACCTACAACACCACGCAGCATTTGGTTTCCCACTTCAGGATGGCTCCTGGCTGAAAATGATCAGAGACCTCCACATTAGCTATCTGGACCAAAATTGTGAGCAAGCTGCTTTCCACTGGTGCTACCAAACATTTCATCCAATGCCAGACTCTGAGCAGAGATACTTCTTTTGCACAGTGGTACAGAGCTTTCCCTAGAGGAAAGCAGTGGTGAATTAGGGCAGGAGTCAGGCAGCTCACAGCGAGACAAACACCTTCCCTGCAATGGAGTATACACAGAGGAACTTCCAAAGCAAGGACAGATTTCACTGCTCTGCCTTTTCTGGGCTGTACTGCATGTGAGGAGTCAAAACGGCTGCTGCAGATGGCTCCTGGTACCATTCACACTCTCCTCTCCTGCCTAGCAGGGTTTACTTCAAACCCCAGAAGTAACTGAGTTCTCTCTCCTCTTTCGCGAAAGGAAACAAACAAAAAAATCTCCATGGATGTAGCAGGACACCCAAAGACCTACCCAGAAGCAGGAGTGAGACACCGGGCTTATAGCCCAGTTTCCTCTTAAGCAGAAATCCACCCACCTCATTTACAAAATAGACCTGTAATCAGCTTTGTGCAGAGCAGTACCATCAGCTTACAGGCAGCCTTGCCAGATCAACAAGGAACTAAGCTGCTTCCTGGCTCTTGGAAAGCACTCACTGTAAGAGAGCCAACCCTCACACTCTCCCATTTGAGGTCAGCCCCCTCAGGGCTAGAAGAGCAGGCAGGCAGCTGCAAGTTCACCAAGCTCAGCACAGGGCCAGCACCAGCACACCAGCTGCTGGCTCCCAGCTCACATGGAGCACCCCAGCTATACATTAACTGCCCTCTGGCTCCTCACCCTCAGTTTCTGAAGCCCTGTTCTACAGCCACTTCCACTGCCCTCCACATCCAGCACAGGACTCGGCCAGGAGCACTGGGAGCTGGGTCTGAGCACCCAGTTTGGAGGACACATCACCAGGGTGAGGATTTCCCCTGTGATCACACAGTCCTTGGGCTCACTGGGACAGAGCCATCCCCAAGGAGAGGGCTGACCACAGTACAGTACTCTGTGATGCCCATTGCAGGAACAGAAGTCACAGGGGAAGCAGCCCCACATCCCCAGGGTCCTGCAGCACAAGATAGGACACAGCACAGCCTCCCCAGCCGGAGGGCAGAAGAAGCCAGGTTCAAGGGCGCTATTTTCGTTTTGATCACTCACTGGACAGCAAGCACCACACCAGGTCAGCAAACTTGTCACAGCTCCAAACATCCACCATGGGGAAGGGAAACTGAAGCACAGAGGCAGAACCTGCCCAGGCTGAGCCAGGAGCTGGTTGCGGGCCCAGAGGAACAGCCTGCCTGCCTCACAGCACAGCCAGCCTCCTGCCAGCACAGCTGCACAAGTCCTGATGGCATCCTGGCTTCCTGCGCAGCTGGCTTCAAGTCAGGCACTCCTCAAGAAATGCAGATCCCAAAATTAAACTAGAGAAAGTGGTTCCAATTTATCTTATACTTCCAGACAGGCAGAGTCCTGCAGGTAGGGTGTGCTGCCTCTGCGTGCTGACAGGCCTGCAGCAAACGGCACAGAGGAGCAGGTGAGAGCAGAGCTACAAAGAGCACTTCAGCACCACCCTGCAGACAGCAAGAGGCCTGGAGGTGGCTTGACATTCCATCCAACCCAAAGGAAGCCACCAGATCAAGCCTCAGACAGGACTAGTTAACAACAGCAGGAATGGCTCAAGGCTCCCAATGGCCAGACATACACAGCATGACTCCATGGATCATCATTCTACAAGACACATCTGCTAACTCACTTGACAGAGCCTCTGCACCCATCTCTTGCAACACACTCATGTTAAGCAGCACTCACCAGCACTTGGACTTTGCTCTCCATGCCATGGGGCATGTGCTGGGCTCTCAGAAGCATTTACCCAAAGGTGTAACAACCATTGTAGAAGCACAATTCAGAGCTGTGAATTACTGTTCCAGCAGCAGTGTCTGCTGGTGAATGAAGGGGTTAGCACACAGTCATTTAAGGACTTTGGTGCAGTCAGACTTGTATCTCCCACAACTGTTTTTGCAGATCCTCCATCTGACCTGATCACCTCTACAGTGATAGCCAGGACAGTGACAACACCAGTCCCTTCAGCCCAAAGTGAGGAGACTGCATACTCAGGACAACATGGAAGCTGGGATTCTTCCCAGTACCATCCAGCATAGACATGATGAGCCGTGAATTCAGGAGACAAGTCAGCACAAATCAAACCCCTGTCCTTTTCAGTACTAGGGTATCACATGAGAACTCAGAGGAAGGGAAGTAAAAATCACTGTATCCTTTACCATTACACATCCCTTTTATTCAGAAATTGGTAGCTGAAAGCCCACAACATGGTCACTGCTCAGGGCCCTCATTTCTTATGGTTTTGCTCCCCTGGAAGAGGCCGTGTCCTACTCACTGAAGAATGGGGTTGATTGAAGAATAGGGTTGCAGCAAGTAACCTCAAGGATGTGAATCTTTGTTAGCAACTATAGAGAAAAGGAAATTACTAAGATAAGCTTTGCCAGAACTGCCTGGTGGTTACTGATATGGCATGGATCCTAAAAGAAAGTGATGACGAAATAACCACCAGAGGTCCGAAACCCCACTACCACATTTTGTAGGCATACAGGAGGCATTCTCTCAAAGTATGATGTAATATATGTAATCTATGGAATATGCATGTTTAAGGACAATATAATCACAGCCTGGTCGATGCCTGGAAGAGACACACTTGAAGGAGCTATCCCTCGTGTCTCCCGGTGCCGCAATAAAGAATACCTGCTTGTCAACTTAAAACTTTGTTGGGAAGTTTCTGGAGTTTCCTCCAAATCAATCTGGCATCCCAGATGTGACCCTCTGTGCTCGGCTGCTCCCTAGGGCCTTCAGTTTTTCCTGGAAGGACCCCTTGACTCATTTGGATCACTGTGGGAGCAGACAAGGACCATCTTCATAAAGGGTATTCTTTTCTTTTGTATAGTCTGTAAGGTGCAGGGGGCATCTTGCATAAAGACTAAATTGGTAATTGGGTAGGGTTGGTAAGCGTACGCAAGGTTTGGAGGCCTTCCATAAATCGAGATAGGAAATCTCACGGATAAAGGCGTATACATGGCTGCTAGCTTCCGTTTGGTATGCACCCACAAGAAGCAGGGGGTATCTTGCAGTTTGGGTCCTACAAGACGCAGTGAGTGCTTGTAGAAATGGTTTTGGATTTTACTGGTATTTGACTTATGTTGTGGCTTGTTATAGTTATGATTTTGGTCTTGTGATTTTGGTATTGGTGAGAGGCTGCTATAACTGCGTTATTGTTGTCTCTGTTTCAAGTGTTGTAACTGTGTGGAGTGTGCCTATTTTGTGGCTTGTTACATGATGATATTGGTCTTGTGATTTTGGTATTGGCGGCAGGATGTTATAACTGTTAATTGTTGCTGTTCAATACAATTTTAGTCTCTGTCTCAAGTGTTGTAACTGTGTGGAGTTTGCCTGTGGGATCGTGTGCGTGTGTGTGTGTGTGTGTGTGAATGCAAGACTGAGAATGGGAAAGCGGCAGAGTGGAGAGATCTTGAAAGAGTCCTTTAGGGTGCATTTTGGCACACTGGAAAGAACTGGGAGTGTTTCCTGGGGGTGAAATATTGTAACCAATGGTGGACATTGTATACTCTGGAGGATCACGAGAAATGGCCAAAAAACAGAACTCTGAATTATAAAACATTGTTGCAATTAATGTTATTTTTAAGGCAACAAGGAAAATGGGATGAAGTGATGTATGCAGATATGTTTTTTACTTTAAGAAACCACCCAGAGTGGCAGACAGAATGTGAAATTAATATAACTCTGCCAGATCCCTAATTTTGGCTTTAGAAAAGGACAGGGGAAAAACAGAAA